GAAAATATCATTTTATTAGACATCGAGTAGAAGAAGGACACCTCGTGGTAAAGAGGGTATCGTCAGAGGATAACCCAGCAGATCCGCTTACGAAGGGACTTAGCAGGGTTAAGCATTTGCAGCACGCTAGGAGCATTGGGCTAAAGGACGATATTAGTTTAGATTAGATAGTTTGGAAACGTGTAATAGATAAGTGTAATTGACATTTGATGATTAAATAAAGGAGTATTATTTATAAGTAAAGCTACTGTCTTATGTTAATTGTTTAACTATTGTTTCATTTTGCATGTTTTGACTTCCTGAGTAATTAATTATTTGATAATAATCGAATTATTCGAATAGTCCACAGTCGTTCATATGTTGGAAGTAGGTATGAATGAAGACTGTCATGAATTGGTGTGTAGATTGTCTAAAGTGTATTAGACATTGCAAAGGTTTGCTGCAACGTTCATGAGTGCTTATGAACTTGATTTGAGCATTGGAATAAACCCGCACTTGTTGGAATCACTTCATGGAATTTATCACGAGTGATCACAAGATGGTAATATCATATAGTCTTAAAACCTAGATATATGGTTTATTGTTTGTTAATTGGTTATGCATTGATAATGCGCAAACGCATCAGTAACTTGATGTTATAAAACGTATTGTTGTGTGTAATTTGATTAGTGGATAATAAATGCATATAAGTCGAAGTTTATCTGTTCCTTTTATCCTAAGAGGGTAAAAGCGATATCAGGGCCCCTCGATGATTTGATTTGACTTATGTGCCGGGCCCGGTCAGAACTAAATTGATGTGTTCGATTAAGTTCTATGTCAAATGAATCTGAGATCGAGAAACAAATTGCAGGACAATAAGTATGACCATGTTCCATGTAATTGTCCGCACGATATCTAGAACAGAGGATTATACGATCCCTTATCTAAAGGACAGGATACTGATAAGATCAGAGTTGACAGCGTCTTTGAGAGCTACGATTGCTAATCGGATTGTGTTTGCATATATAGTTACTAGACTTATCCAAGTGGGAGACTGTTGGATTAGTGTCTAAGGCTGTAACTATATTTGGTAAGTACTTGACCCGGTTATGCATGGTCCTTTTGGGTTGCCTTCACCATAGCAACTTGACAGGATGATTTGTTAAGAGAGAAGAGATATTATTAATATATTATGAGAATAATATATATTTAAGGAATAATAATATTATTTGATTAATATAAGTCATATATTAATTGAGAATTAATTTGGTGACTTAAAGAGGTTAATTGAATAAAGGGCATAAACTGTCAAATGTGTGATAGTTGTATTTTGGGCTATGTATCCTTATGGATATTGGGGTGGACGAAATTTAGGGTTTGGGAACCTTAAATTCGTCCAAGCCTTGTATCTAGAAGGATCTTGGATTGCTTAGGGCCTAAGTCATTCAATTAGGGTTAAAGGAGAAACCCTAATAGCTCATAGTATAAATAGGACCCTTGGGGTGGAGAAATCGGCACTCTTGCAAGCCAAGGAACCCTAGGGCCGATTTCTATCCCTCCTCCCTCTCTCTCAAGATCATCTTCTTGCTAGTTGGTGTTTGTAAGCCATTAGAGGAGTGACAATTGTGACTCTAAGCTCCAAGAAGAAGAAGTATCAAGCAAGTAATTCAAGGTATTTTTCAGATCTGATTTCATATGACTAGATTCAATATATTACATTAGATCTAGTATTGCAAGTCTTGGATTCAATGCATGTTCAATTAGAGAAACCTAGATCCAAGCAATTAGGGTTTGCATGTACACATAGGAAAGTTCTTATGGCTCAAACCCATCATAGATAGCAATCGGTTTCAAAAAAGATTTCATGAATCGATTTCAAAAACTATTTCATTAATCGGTTTCAAAAACAATTCATGAATCGATTTCATGAGATCAATCGATTAAAGAGGGAGACTAAAAATTGTAGAGCTTGTCGGTGTTAAGTAGAAATTGGTGGAGGATGGCTGTGTTTGAGTAGGTGGAGGAGGGCGATGACAGAGGGGAGGATAAAACTTCAGCGAAGACAGAAGCGGGAGAAGGAGGAACGTGAGCTTATTCATGGAACGTTCAAAGCGTTTGGGCAAAAATTGGGAAATATTCTAGTCAACTTCTTTTTAACCTAGGACCGAGTCAAGCCATTTCCCATGACTGAATCAGACCAAATGACTGGGTCAGACGTTATTAGCCTTTTATCAAACAAGCTGACTGGACCGAGTCAGCCAAAAGTGCTGACCGGACCCGGTCAGCACCAAATCAAACAAGCCCTTACAAAGTTTTTAGCAAAAACTGGGAGTTTGCACGGGTATAACTCCGACACAGAAGCTTCTCTTCGTTAGGATCTTAGATATTTCAAATCCCTACTAAAATGCTCAGAAGTTCGGAAAAAAATCAGACTCAAAGGGTGAAAGAAGACAAGAGAGATCTGGGTTTGAGTTGTGAGAAAATGAGCAAGATTCACAACATATTTATAGTAAGATACGAGGCACGTTGTGCCTTCAGGGTGACACTAATCCTTTTCCTTGTTTTCATGTGCCAAAAAGATGGTGGTCCACACCCCACATTCTAGAAGATTGGCACGTCGCGCCCTACCCTACGCGGTGCGATCTTCGAAAAACTTCTAAAAATCATATCTTTTTCGTACGGGCTTCATTTTTGACGTTCTTTATATCCACACATAGCTATATACCAACACTACAACTTTCCTTTAGACTATGTTGCTTGGTTCTCACTTTATTTATAAAGTTATATTTTTATAGGGCTTAGACTGTTAAACTCCATATAAAAATCATAACTCATTCATACGAATTCTATTCTCGACTGTTTTTATATCGACAGAATCACGTTAAAGAGATCTTCAACTATTGTTTAATTTTTTTGTCTAACACTCAACCGATCTAAATTTTGATTTCTATATCACACACTGCTATACTGAAACTTTGAAAAATCATAACTTCTTCATACAAAGTCAGATTTAGGCGTTCTTTATATGTATGCTCTCGATTTTACGATTACTACAACTCTCATCAAGATTATTTATCCTAAATATTCTTCTATGAAAAACATCTATTTGTCGATCATAACGCGTACGGCGAACAATTATCCTATTCAAGGATTTTTTTTAATTATAATAATTATTACTATTATACTTTAATCATCTAGCCCTAACTTATGGTGTGACAACCGTCAATATCCGGTCAAGACAAAGTCAACAAGTCAAACCGATTAACTCAACTAGTGCTTGTATTTTAGGAATTACTCTATGTTTACTAATGGACAACTATCTATCATAATATAAAGTATCACTCGGAAGTTTCACATGTTCAGAAATTCTAAGCCCTAACCAGGGTGAGTGATATAACGATTCTAGGAAACACTATTACGTACCCTTCGGGGGGAATAAAACACTTATAACGAGACATAATGGGGTTTACAAACCTTGCATTACGGGGCCAAACACTAACAAAGGTCACAAACAAAGTCTCTCTCAATCTCTCCCACTCTATCTCTCTCTCCCAAATCTTTCCTAAATATCTCTTTGTATCTCAAATCTCTCCAAAATCTCTCTCAACTTTTTATAAATATCCGTACTATCCCAACCCCTTCCTTTGTTGAAAACAGCTCAAAACCAAAGGAGAAAAACCAACACTACTAGAAAAACAGCCTTTTACGACGCACAATGTGTGTCGTAAAACGCTCAGACGACGCGCAAATGCGTGTCAAGGAAGGCCCTGTCATAACGAAAGACGACACGCTTTTACGCGTCGTTTATAGACGACGCGCATTTACGACGCGCACACGCAATGCGTATCATTAAAACCGCTGTCAAGAAAGGTCATGTCATAAATGAAGATGACACACATTTTTGCGTATCGTAATTTTAATTAAAAAAAAATTATTTATAGATTTATTAATTTTCAAATTAAATTTGCATTTCATGTCTCATAATAGAAATAAAATACCATATACAAAAAATACAATCCATTGCACAAAAGTTAATGTTATACAAATAATCATTCCAATAGTAGACAAATGTAACTGAGGGAGAAAAAAAAAGCTAAAACATTCATATTTTTTTTTTATAAAATCAAACATTCATATAAATTTATTTCATTATTCTAAATTCTAACCCTTTCTAACATTATAATAGATCAACTCAAGAAGGCCCATTTTTCTCAATCCCAAAAGGTGCCTCTAAATGCCAAATCATTGATAAGGACTTTTCACAAACACTTAGCGTGCAAATTAAAGGCCACATAAAACCCACGTAACTTGTTGCACCAGGGATTTGAAGAATTCACTGCAAACCATCATAAAGAGGGTAAATCTGTCTTTTTTCACTTTCATGAAGAACAATCACAAAAATGTTGCAGATACTTACCTGGAAAACTCTGATTGAATTCTGAGTAGCACCTTTAGCAATGTACTCTATAGTGAATTTGGATGACATTTCATCATACCTAGAAACAATTCAAACCAGAATAAGACCATGAAAAACAAGGTAATATCCATGTCCCATGATAAAGTAAGATAAGAACACTTACATGGACAAATGCTTGTCTTCAGCAAGAATGGCATTATTTAATTGGACATCATATGTACAATTTCAAACAAACAAAGATTAGAGTGAAATAAACATTAAACTGTGGTGTAACTTAACAAACAATCAAATCTGGATTTGTATTTGCATGATATTTTAAATGGATTTAAGGCACTTAAGAAAACAAATCAAAAATATGATTTGCTGAGAGTGATTACCAGAAACTTTAGTAGTCAGCTTTATAGGTCTCATTTCCACACCAAAATTGTACAAATGGTAAAAAGCCATTCCATTAGTAAACTATAACACCCATTCATTGAATGATATCACATATATATTTTGCTTCCTTGGATAGGTACCATATATAAGCCATTCAGCTGCAAGAGTCAAACATGGTCAAAAGATTACAACAAAGTTTGACTAATTTAAAGGAATGATGTAGAAACTAAATAACATTGGAAAATCTAGGGAAAACCTGAGTGGACTTCCAATTGCAGTATAGTATTGCTAATTCCTGCAACATGTTCAACTCATATGAGATGTGAGCTACTGGATAGCTTCCAGCAGGAACTCTAGGGGAAACCTGAGTGGACCCCATAAATCTTGTGGAGCGACTCTTTGTCATTTTAGCTCCATCATGAGGCGGCAAACCATCATATAAAATAAACTTTGTTCCCAAAAAGTTTGACCTATGTCATCAAATCATATAAAGAATATGATGTTTACTTTACTTTCCAATCATATCATAATAAACTGAATGTTTCAAATGGTAATTGTAAGTGTAAATACTCACCTTAATTTTCCAATATATCTACTGCTCCCTTTTGACATGTCATCAGCATGTAATGAGATGATGTAATCGGTACATGTGGTGCGTCTAAACTTGCGAGCAGCAAGAAGAAACTTTCCATCATCAGCAAGTGCTGCCAGATTACAGGGACAAAATAGTAAATATGGAACCCAAATGTGAGAAATCATAGAGCTCATAATAAAACAAGAAATACCCTTCAAATTCAATCAAGCTAAAAAGAATGTTAGGAACTCCAACTTTATTAGTCATTACCATGTTGTTTTACAGAAGAAATGTAAGTACAATGGTATAATAATAATTAAAATAAGTACATTGCTATTTCATGCATTTATCCCTAGAAAAAAAGAATTAAATGATGTTTACTTTACCTTGAGTCAAACTAAGGAAAAGGAAATATGTTTGAGTAGACCGTTTCCATTTTATAAAGCATTGGAGGAGAGATTCTCTAGGACCAGGCTGCACGTTAGCAAGAAACTATTAATTATTAACTGAAACAGTTAAGAAGCCAATTTAACTGCAAAATTCCTAATAATACATTTATTTGAAAAAAATTAGGAGCTTATACATTATGTAACAATGTATTCACATGTGTCAGCAAGAAATATCAATCTCAAACACTAACTATATGGAAACTTGTGATATATGGAAACTTGGATCCCTATTATGAAAACATCTTACTATATCTTTTGTGGGATAAAAAATCAAATGAAGCTTGTCTTTTTTTTTATTCCATGTGTGTTTTAGTGTGCATGTGTGAAAATAGAGACCTCAACTTTTGTGTATGGGATAGAGAAAGGAAGAAAGGAGCTGGAATGACAGGTGTGCTTTTAGAACATTTGAGCAAGTTGTATTTCATTTGTTGATTCTATTGTTTTATGGTCTTTTCTTTATTCTGTTTCTTTTTTCATTTAGATTGTAATTTTCTGTTAGTTAAGAAAACTTATCAAACAACCATGTTTTCATTTAATACTTATTCAGACAGAGGAATAAAATGGTAATTATTTATCATTTAGCTCATCAACCCTAATAGTGGATCATACAAGTATAATAGATATGGTTATTTCTTAATTTCTCAGCCCATGTTATGTATCCTAATATTTGTTTCCTTATGTGATTGACACAATCAATCCCTTGTGTATCCCTTTGTTTACACCCAACAAAATCCTTATAAACTTATAGATATGAACGAGCACATCAGAATAAATACCACACAATAAAGGGATACACCCAAATAGTGAATCATACAACAAAATCCCAACCCTAAAACGATTGATAATCATCGAGGCACACAAAAAAAACGAAACAATCAGACATAGTTGTAGGAATTGAGGTAAACCTGCCTGACAGAAATTGGGAAAGTCAACATCCCGAAAATCTCAGGCCTCTTAACGATCTCCTTCATGATCTCTCTCCAACTCCTACAAACAGTAGCACAACCAACAACATTCTTCCGGGAAGGCCACTTATTTTCGGATGATTCAATCCTGATCAAGACCTCTCTCAAGAGCTCTTGAGGCATGTTAGCCCAACAGCTCTGTTTCAAACCGTCATCAATTTCTTCAGCGTCATCTTCGAGTTCTAAAGCAGCAACAGCCATGGAAGTCTCTTGAAGAGGGTTTGGTTTCGGTGTGGAAGGGATGTCAAAAGAGTAGTGGATACACAGAAACCGGATTTGGTGAGTTTTCTAGAGATTGTGGATTTCCAATGTCACAGTATAGTATCTGCAATAATTAGCAACAATTATAAGAATCAACAACACTTACAATAAGAAATCAGCATCATATGCAACAACAATTGCAGGAATCAGAAAAAAACCCAACTAAAATACAACTCACTTGGGAATCGACATCAGGGGATTCGACCAACAACTCCAAAATCGATTTTTGAGGCGTAACTTCACTGATTTATCAGCCCAGAGAATCAAATTTTAAATTGAAGAGCAAACTTCACTGTCGGAGAGGAGGGACTCTATCGGCTGGGTCTCGTTGGAAAGTGCCGGAGAGGAGGGGCTCCACCGGCTGGGTGTCGCTGGAAAGCGTTAGACGGCGGGGCGAAGATGGACGGAGGTCAGAGGTGGGAGGCGCCAACGCCAAGAGAAACGTCGGAGGTGGGAGAAGCTGTCGACGTCGAGAATTGAGAAGAAGAGAAAGGGTTTGTCGAAGTGAGAAGAAGAGAAAGGGACGTCGAAGAGAGAACGAGCGGTAGAGGAAGGCGGCTGGGGCAAGTACTTGAATTCTTTAGAGGGAACCAACCGGAGATCACTTTTCCGGTAGCGATCTTCTCCACAGGTATGTGATGGTGCAAGTTTGCTGTGGGAGAAAATAAGAGAGTATATTAGGGTTTTTTGGGGTATTTGAGTTAGGAGAGAAGAACGGTGGAAAGAAGGTAATAACATGGCGGACCTTTCAAACTTTTCGGAATTTCGTTTCCCCCAAAAGAAGTGACCCCTCGTTTCATTTAAAAAATATAAAGTGACATACTTAGAGGACGCACATTTTATGTTATGTGCCCTCCGTGTTTTTTTTTTCAATGTGACACTTATTGTAGGACGCGCAAGAATGTGTGCCCTAAATCCTTCTAATTTTTGGACAGCCGACACTATTTTTAGGGAACACACTATTGCGTATCATAAAACAGCACGTGTCATGGTTCGCGCGTCGTAAAAGGCTGTTTTTCTAGTAGTGCAAAAGGACCCTCTTGGTCCGGAACACTCCTGACGCTCCTGACTCCGGACACTCTTGACGCTCCTGACTCCGGACACTCCTGACACTCGGACCCATTCCGTATATTTGACCATTTCGGACCTTTTAATAATTTTAGGAGTATTTGACGTCGGGAACACCCTCAAACTCGTAATTCTCATGACAACCTTGAAGTGTTAGAACACATTTTTATGAATAATGTCTAAGAGTCATTATTTTATTCATAAGGTAATCACCCACTTTACGTCACTATTCACACCTTACCTAGTCAAATCATTGTCCTTTTTCAACTCATCCCAACACTCCATCAGATTAACTTAACCAAATCCACCCAAGAGATCTTATTCCTCACATTCAAAATCTCAATTGCCTTCTCCAAAAACACACTTTTCTTTCTCTCTTTCTCTCTCTCTCTCTCACGATCTTCTTCGCAAGAAGTATTCAGGCGGTTTTCTCCATTCTAGGTAAGTTCCTTGATTCAGCTCCTAAATATTCTACACTTCTTCATACAAATCATGAATCATTTACTCAAATATCGACATATTTGTTCTTAGGATCTTCAAATCTTCAAGCATCCTTCAAAGTGTTCTTGACTTGAAAACCCCTCTTCTTCAACCTTCCACCTCAGGGAATCACTCAAGGTGATTTCATACCCCTATCTTTTCATGTTTTCTACAAGTTTTAAGGGGGAGAATACAAGTCACAACACCAAAACATATTCTAACTCATCCAACAGCTTTCAACAGGAAAGTTATGGTCCATTCACGAACTGTCTATCATTTCAGAAGTGATTTCGGAAGTGATTTCGGACCTTTCTAATGACTACTTACACACGTTCATAAGATTTTTCTAAAATTTATATTGAATTTTACAAAACTGTCTATCATTTCAGAAGTGATTTCGGACCAGTCTGTGAAGATGGACATTTTCACACTGGTTAGAGACCACTAAAAATCATAATAAAAATGATGAACAAACTAGACACATAATCCGAACTCCCAGAGTTTATGGATTCAGTTTTCGACCTACAGTGATTTTACTATGATTTTTCTAAAAACAGTGATTGAAAGGTTAAAACTAGTAAAATAGTTTAAAAATTCATTAATACTTTGTAACATGTTGAGCAAAGTGTATAACAGTAAATAGGTACATGATGATTGCATTTCTTATTAGTTTTATTCCATGAAATAGAAATAATCATTCACCTTAGGATCTTTCATCACTATAAACATATATGATAAATTATAATGGGTATAGTTTATGGTACATTAATACTACGAACATACTAAGAAAGGTTTCATATCTACTACAAAAGGGGTTTTCATTTAAACTACACGTAAACTCATTGAATCAGGTTGTAAGGTACTACTTCATGGTACTCCTAGAGTGCTGGTTAAAATCCTATAGTTCTAATCAGAGTCTCTGGTAGGGAGAGCGTGATACTTGTATATAGATCTATATTGGGATTGACAACCCACACCTAAGCTGCTTGCAACAGCTAGACCGGCAGGTCTGGGGTGACAAATGTCATAACAATCCGATGCCTGAAGATCGTCGTCACAGGTCGCTATGTCAATAGTATGGTTATAATAACTCACATAGGGAAACAATGACACATATAGTTTATGGGGATTTAACAATCATATAAAAGGGGTTTTATTAATATCATTATAAAACTACATTACATTGTTGTCAAGTACAGAACAACTGTCATTTTTGAAATCATCTTACATTCAAAAGGGTTTTTTTATTTATTTAAAACCGTGTATACTATTATAAGTATGAAATAACACTTTTACATTTGATCTTGGGTTTTAAGGTTGCATTTCGTTTAAAAAGAGAATATTGGATTTTCTGAAGGAACACACTAACGTTTTCAAGGAACAAAGAACATAATTTCGAATACCAAAATACTTATGAACTCACCAGCTTACATACTGATACTCTTTCAAAACCTACTTGTATTCTCAGGACACTAGTAGGCAGGTACACGCACCGGGTTCAAGAAGATGGAGCGTAGTAGCTTCGAGACTTACTTGTTATTTTCTTTTGGATTCAGTTTTATATGAATCGAATACAATGTAAACATTATACTATTAATATAATGGTTGTTGTTGCTTTGATTACTATTATTCAATTGTTGTGATAAATTTACATGACGTCCTCCGCCCCCAAATGTTTCCGCCTTTCCGGTTTGGGGGTGTGACAGATTAGTATCATATCATTGTTTATAGTGAACTCAGTATATCAACCCATAAGAAGATATACAACTATAAATACAATGGGTCCGAAGCGCTCTGACTAAAAGTATACTTTTAAAATATAAGTATTTTATGAGAAGTATACAAACATGAAGACATACTAGAACAAGTATTACATGAAGTACAAAACATAAGTATTTAGATGTTGAACACTATAGTCAAACCTAGACAATTATGTAATCATATCTGGGATAAATATGGCCTGATCAACTATATTCATTTGAGATATGACCAACATGTATTTGGGAGTTATAGCGGTGTTGCAGCAAGTCTAAAACTTACCAACTCTATATGCAAAGGAATACTAAAACCGAACATAAAGTTTAAAATACTATAGGAGTATTTTAGACACTATAACTAACTTATGTAAAAACCAAAAGACCCTTACTGGCAGGTCTATAATTGCGGAGTGTATACTCTCAGGGTTCTATATAATTGATATTTTATAGACTTAGAAATTGTTATCTTCGCTCTATTTCATGTTCCTTGTTTGGTTGTGGTCTTGGAGTAGGATTACTTTTCGAAGGTCTATTCGATCTTGATTATATACAACTTGCATACACTGCGTGATTATAGGAGGACTCGGTAAGTATCACCATAAAAATTTCGATAGAAATGTTTTACTTAATATCATAGATTCTTTAGATACTCCCATTCTCGCACACCCAACAAAGATAGACATAGCCACTCCACTACAACAGGCGACAGAGGAGTTAAGGAAGAAACAGAAAGAGGTTCATGAGGGAGATTCCGAGAAGGAATCAGTCGAAGAGAAAAGATGTCGTCGATATCAATAATGAACCCTACCTTATCAGAAGCAGACTTACGAAGCTCACTTGGACATTCGGGTTCAGATTTTTCATTATTGCATAATGGAAATCGGTGAGAAAACTTGAAGCATGACAGAGCAAGGAATCAACACACCTATGAAGAGCAAGAACACTATAGGAATGCCCTGAGACAACAAAACTTTACAACTGAAACTGGAAAAAACATAACAAGGATCAAGAGCAAAAGGAACCACTCGCGAGGTATGCGAGGTGGCAGAGCACCTTATGCGTCACGTTAATAAACAACCTAATATAACCTAGTGAGTTAGTGACTACACTACTCACACTATGTGTTAGGCTTATTTCCCCTTTCGTCACCACTAATATCAGTGAATCAAGTCACAAAATTTCATTTAAGGGTGATTAATATTTAAAAAATTCATAAGTCTATTGTACATAGACCTCTGTTATGAATTGTTTTCAAAACGCCATAAAAGTCGGAACATGATACACACAAAACTAAGATAACTTAGTTCAAACAACACTCGACCTATGATCACTACTAAAGACTTACCACCCTTTCCTGTTTTAAAAACCTTACAGTAGAAAATTTCCTCCCCATAGACCCATAAGACGCACCCTCAACAACACGTCAACAAATCCACCACTGTACGACACTGATGTTTTTCAGGCCACTGTAACAACCACGACTCGAATCCACGCAAGTGGTACCGGTGGGTTAGGTAATGGTGCTAACCGTCCTAGCTACGAAGAAAGCCATGGGCACCCACAGTCTATTTTAGTAAACCTAACACTTGTAAAATACCTACTTCTACTCCCTACCATAAGTACATCTCATGGATG